AAAAAAAAAAAAAAAAAAAAGAAAAGAGAAGAAACGAAAATCTTTGAACACAACACAGCAATCTGCGGTAACACAGATAAAACTTTGGAATATGCCGATCATAGTTCAGTGGTAAATGTTTATGTTTATTGATGCCATCAAAATTTCTACTTTACTCACACATAAAACAAAAAAAACAAAAAAAAAAAAAGAAAGAACTTTTAACTATCAGTCACTACTGAGTAATAAGTTAGTGGAATAAAAAGAGCAATAAAGGAGATACCTTTTAAGAGAAAAAATTTTTCAAAACAACACTGGTGTAAATACGGTAATTTAGTGAAAATGTTTTGGAAATAGAGCTCCAAACGATGACGATGATGATGACAATGCTGATGCTGATGTTGATGTTGATGGTGATGCTGATGGTGATGACGATGACGATGATCATCATTATAATGATTGTGCCAAAGAACAATTGTGAACATTTTTCTGAAGGTTTGCAATTTGTGTTCGTTTGCTTAAGCAATCAATACCATTTGCGGCTGAAAGTCCCATTAGCCACCGAAAGCTGCTTAGAAACCAATTGAATAGATGGATGAAAAGATAGACAAGGTGCCTGAATCATCATTAGCTGGATGAATAGTTAGAGAGCAGGTTTCTGGTCAACGGTTGAAAAGATAGATGATGATTTCGATGATGATGATGATGATGATGATGATGATGATGATGATGATGTTGGTGGGATAGCAAACTGCTGGTGACGTTGATGATACCACTGTTGGTTGCTTCTGAATTATCGTCTTGGTCTTTGTTGATCACAGAAAAAAAACGAATGCCATAATTTTCAGCTATCAGAAAAAAAAAATGCCGAACTGCAAGACGTAAACTGTTCCATTTTTTAGCTTTTAAACAAAGAAAAAGAAATTTTTTTTTCTGCTATAAAATAAACAATTTTTAAGGAAATTTTTCTTTTTTTCTCCTCTCTTTCTCCCTCAAAAAAGGAAAAAAAAAAACAACTTTTTATACTTAAGCTGTTCAAGCAG